CTCTGTATGTCTGTCCACACTGCCATTATTCCATACGCTGTGTGTGCTCAGCCCCAGACTGCCACGTCCTCTGTATGTCTGTCCACACTGCCATTCAGGATGTTTTTTTTTTAGTGGTTTGAGATTGACTGGTCAGACTTGGATGTGTTTCCTCTTCGTTTCAGTTAATCAGGTGCTGCTGTTCCTTCTGGCCCTGACCCTTTGTGGGATTCTGTACAAGAAAGTTCATAAGGGAGCTGTCCTCAAGAATGAAGCAGGTGAGCAAGCATGGGGTCTGTCCACAAGACACCTAAGAAGGTGGTGTCGATGTTTTCTACGGGGTCCTTCCAGTGGTTGGGTTGGGGGCAAATGAGAACGTGGTGAAGGGGACAGCTTGTAAAACATCTTCCCCAGGGCATCAGCTGGGTTATGCTCTGGGATGATCAGTGCCGTTCAAAATGTAGTCTATGTCACATGGAGGGCTTGTTAGAAGATACCTAGACTGGTGTGTTACACACACTTGTGACTCCAGCCTCTGGAGGTTGAGGTAGGAGGGTTGTGAGTTTGAGATTAGCCTGGACTACATATAGTGAGTTTAGGGTCATCTGAGTTACAAAGTGAGACTGTCTCAAACAAACAAAAACTCGATCCCGCCTGAGTGGCTGAGCACCATAGAAAGAGTGTGAGCCTGAAAATTCACATTTCTTATAAGCTCCACGTTGGTGCTAGCGGTTCCTAGTCCACCCTGAGGGACTGCTCTGCACCCTGTCCCTTCAGAGTCTCTCCCACATTGTGCTTTTGAGAATTGCCTCTTCCCCCCTCTTCTTGAAGATCCATTGCCATTAGCTGTAAATGGCTTCCAACAGCTCAACTTAAAAATGACCCTTCAGGGGCGGGAGATGGCTCAGTGGCTAAGAGCACTGACTGCTCTTTCAGAGGACCCAGGTTCCATTCCCAGCACCCACAAGGCAGCTCACAACTGTCTGTAACTTCAGTTCTAGGGGACCTAACACCCTCACACAGACATACATGCAGGCAAAATACCAATGCATATAAAATAAAAATAAATATTATTTTTTAAAAAATGACTCTTTACAGGACTGTAGAGAGGGTCAGCAGTGAAGAGAACTGCTGTTCTTACAGAAGACTGAGACTCGTCCCCAGCACCTACAGTGAGCAGCTCACAACCATATATAGATCCAGGGGATCTGACGCCCTCTTTTGGCACCCATGGGCACCTGCACTCATGTGCACATACACAGACACATACATACACACACACAGACACAGGCACACACAGACACACAGGTGCACGCACACACACACACACACACACACACACACACACACACACACACACGCACGCAGACATGCACACACATGCTCCTGGTGTTGAGGAAATCAGAAGGAGTCTGGTATTGCCGAAAAACCTCCAGTGATGAGCTGCACAGCCAAGCCTGCATCAGTTGGTCTCCTCACACGGCTGCATGGTGACAGCGTACCCCTCAGTGAACAGTCTGTAAACAAGTCTGCTCTGGTTTGCTTTTTCAAACTGGATGCAGTAGTTTAACCACCTGGGAAGACATCATCTTTGTGTGTAGGTTTGAGACTGGCACCGGCTATGTGAGATGCTGCCCCCAAAACATTATTTTGTTTGTTTATAAAAAAAACAATAATTCCTTTAATCCCAGCACTCGGGAGGCAGAGGCAGATGGATCTCTGTGAGTTCAAGGCCAGCCTGGTCTAGAAAAGTGAGTTCCAGGACAGCTAAGGTTACACAGAGAAACTCTATCTCGGAAAAAAAAAATCATGATTACTTAAAGAATTTGAAAAAAAAATGTAAGAAATACAAGCAAAATTAAAGTCACTTACAATTTCATAAGTAGCTACAGATAAATTTGTCGATGTGTATGCATCACTTTGGGATCAAAGACCAGAAAGAATTATTTATTTCTTTATTGACAGGGTTTCACTATTCGGCCCCAGCTGGCCTGGAACTCATGATACAAGCTGGCTTCGGACCCACAGAGGTCCACCCACCTCTGCCTCCCCATGTGCCAACACACCAGCTAAGAACTTACAATCTTTTCCCCTTCAAAGTACATTATGAGATCCTCTCAAGTCAGGAAATATGTCATGAGGACAATTTTTTCTAGTAGCAGATACAGACGTGGATAGAAAAAAATATAAAGAGATGGAGAAGCCATTTAACATTTATTAAGTGGTACAAATACACCTGGTAATTTGTTTCAGTAAGTGTTTATTGAATTGAATATCAGCTGGAACTACCTTGGACCTAGGTGAGAAGAGAGGTTTTAAAAACTGTCTGCAAAGAGAGAGGAAGCTTAGTAACACTCAGCTGTACACAGACTGGATATTTTTCACAATGCCACCAAAATATAATGTGGTAGCATCAGTGTTCAGTCTCTTCCGGTGCTGAAGTATGATTGGTCATTCACGGGTGCTAGCCACGCCCCTTAGTTACTCCTTCCTCTTGGTGCTAACACTTGACTAGGGAGTGGAGAGCAGCAGAGACCCACAGCTGTACAGGTCTCACAAGTTCCGATGCTGGGCCCGTGAGGCTCTGCATTCTGTGTGTGTTTCAGCTGTATGTGTGGGAGGAGGCTGTGGGCTGGCATATGAAAAAGAGGCCCGGAGCAATAGGGACTTAGAACTTTACCCTATCTTCACTTGAAAATCTGATGCGTGGATTCCACAGCCTTTCGGATCAAAGCCCTTCGGTACCTTATGGTTCTGATGTCTTTAGGTATTTTCAGTCAAAGGTCTTCACCACATCATACCAACATGGCAGGGGAGGGAGGAGGGCGGGCATGGAGCATTACTCTGGGGTGCAGCCCCTACAGATGCACACATCACTTAAAACAGCTTCCCATTTGTCCAACTTGACCACCTTTTGCAGGAAGGGAATGGTAAGATTAGTTTTAGTGTTTGGCCATGTGCCAGCTGAAATTCTCACACTCGTTTCCAAGGGCTGCGGGGAGCCTGGATGTTGGGGAGCCGTCCTCCCCAGCACCTCCGACCAGCGGTCAGAAGTCTCTCCTGGACCTTCCTTACTGATGTCGATGTTTCTTTCAGATGGTGATTCCGAGTCCCCCGAGGACATGGAGGAGGAGATTCCAGTGGTGATCTGTGCGGCCGCAGGGAGGATGGGAGCAGCCATGGCCGCCATCAACAGCATCTACAGCAACACTGATGCCAACATTGTGTTCTATGTGGTTGGACTACGGAACACTCTGACCCGAATACGGTAGTTTGTATGCTGTGGTTTTGGAATGCTCTATGTTCTGTGTTCATCTTTTTTCTCTTTAGATGGGCCCTTACCACCTTCACCACCACCTCTTCCTCCTCTTCCTCCTCTCCTTCCTCCTCTTCCTCCTTCTCCTCCTCCTCCTCTTCCTCCTTCTCCTCCTCCTCCTCCCTCTTCTAGATTGACAGCTGTCGTTAGATTTATTGAGAGGAAGTCCTGGGTTTACTGTGACTGGACTAATGTGTTTCTAGATGAGCAAATGTCACCAAAACCTCATTAAGTCTAGGACAACCGGTATTTCTGTAGATGTGAACTGTCTAGGGAACTGAAGAGCCTCAGTCCTGAAGCAGAAAATCTTTCAAATATTTGTTCTTAGCCGGGTTGATGAAGACCTGTGATCCTAGCTACTCGGGAGGCGGAGTCGGGAGGAGCACTCTTGGCTATAGAGGGAAGGCAGACTAGGCAAATTTATGAGATCCAATCTCAAAATAAAAAGTAAAAACGGAGTAGGGGTGTAGCTGAGTGTTAGAGTGCGTATGTGAGGACCTGGGTTCAATTCCCAGCAGAGCAGGGAAAACGATTGTTCTTTGTATTTCCCCTGTTTCCTAACCTAGGAGAACATTTACATAATCCTTACTAACTATTTTTTGGGGGGAAAGGGGCTGGAGATTCAGTCCATGTCTCACACAGATTAAACACAGGCTCCAGCACCGAATCTCACCTGACCTGTAATGTTTGAACTGCAAACTTGCAGTAATATAACTTTATAGGTCATATTGTAACTTTGAACTTATTTTTCCTATGACATGCCATACCAAAAAAAAAATGAATGGAGGTAGAGTAAGAAATCAACAGAAAATCAAAATTCAAATGTGCTTTAGAAATGCAGGATAACTGTGTCATCTGGGACAGTAGCTCCCTGAGCCCAGGAATTAGAAGAAAAAGCTGACAGACTTCCCTGTATAACACAAGAACTTCTGAATAATGAAGAACAGTGAGTGGGATTAGTTATAAAATCCATTAGTAAAAAGCATGGCTTATAATGAAGAATTGTTGCAAAAAATTGTTTTAAGTGTTAAACTTAGTGGGAAAATGAGCATAAACCATGAACAGACACCAAGGCCCAGAATTCCATCCCCAGCTCTATGAACAACACAGCCACCAACGGCCACCACTGTGCGCCTGGTATTCAGAGGCTGAGGAAGGAGGTTGTGGATTAGAGACCAGACCGGGCTGCACAGTGAGGCATTCTCCCAACAAACCAAACTAGCCAAATAACCAAACAACCAACCAACCAAAAAAGAACAGATCACACAATTCACAGAGATACAGATGGTCAACAGGGTGGGCTACCTCCCAGGTCCTGGCTGCTGGTCCTCCCCCAGTGTTTAACTATTTTACAACCAGTTCTCAGTGAAGGAGAACACAAGAGTAGAGGTATGAACCCCCTGTACCTCTCAGTCAGTCACCACGAGCAAATACACTTCCGGAACACCTGCCACGTTCCCAGCACCAGTGGCCCGAGTCCCGCCGCCGGGCACCGACCCCCCAGAGTCCTGCCGCCGGGCACCGACCCCCAGAGTCCCGCCGCTGGGCACCGACCCCCCAGAGTCCCGCCGCCGGGCACCAACCCCCAGCCCTGTTCTGCCAATTTGCCATCAACAGCAAAGGCTGCCACATGTGGCTTGGTCATCACCAACTCTGTTTTGAGATGATTTCTACCACTCTATGCTCATAACGAATCAGATGAAAGAGAGGCACCCCGTGAGACTAAGTGACAAAGGAGAGAGGGTGGGGGGCAGAAGAGGAGGGGACTGAGCGACATGGTCCTTTGGAGAGGGAGGAGGGAACAAGACTACAGTCAAAGGCCGGGCCGCCCGTGTCTCAGCAGGGGCATGTGGCAGTTGGTCTGGCAGGTACGAGGCTGCTTGATAAGGAAGGAACACGTCATGTTCCTCTAGTTTCCCGGGAGGATTTTTGGACGTGGGAATATACTTGGTTCTTACTGTCTTGTTAACTTCCTCTGCAGGAAGAGTTAGGAGATTGGGGGCGGGGAAAGGGGAGATGGGAAGTTAGACCAGATGGGGAAGCAATCAGAAGGATTTATAGCATGACACTGTTTACAGACACTTAACTTTCTAAGGCCAGAGCAGACTAGCCCTGGGATGGCATGCAAGTTAACTGGAGGGAAGATTTGAAGTGTGTACTAGAGGTTTCTGGTCATCTCTTTAGAAAATGGATCGAACATTCTAAACTGAGAGAAATAAACTTCAGAGTTGTGGAGTTCAACCCTGTAGTCCTCAAGGGGAAGATCAGACCAGACTCATCGAGGCCTGAGCTGCTCCAGCCTGTGAGTAAGAGTCATGCACACGGTGGGGACAGTCCTGAGTTCACATACACTGTAGAGCCCCAGTCACCTGTCTTTGTTGTTGTTTTCTGAGACAGGGTTTCTCTGTGTAGTTTTGGAGCCTGTCCTGGATCTCGCTCTGTAGTCCAGGCTGGCCTCGAACTCACAGAGATCCGCCTGCCTCTGCCTCCCAAGTGCTGGGATTAAAGGTGTGAACCACCATGCCTGGCCTCACCATCTGTCTTAGTTAGGGTTTCTACTGCTGTGGCAAAACACCATGACCAAAAAGCAAGCTGGGAGTAAACTGTTTATTCCACATCACTGCTCATCACTGAAGGAAGTCAGGACAGGAACTCAAGCAGGGCAGGGTCCCGTAGGCAGGAGCTGATGCAGAGGTGGAGGGGAGCTGCTTACTGGATTACTCCCCATGGCTTGCTCAGCCTGCTTTCTTACAGAACCCAGGACCACCATCCAGGAATGGCACCACCGATCATGGGCTGGGTCCTCCCTCACCCATTGGTCATGTAATTAAGAAAATGCCTACAGCTGGATCTTACAGAGGTATTTCCTCAGTTGAGGCTCCTTCCTTTCGCATGACTCTAGCTTGTGTCAAGTTGACATAAAACTACCCAGCACACCATCTGGTGCACACATAGGATATTTCAGACTCATGAGTGCCGGATCCCCACAAAGCTCTGCTTATTTATAACTTAGCAGCCACCTGCTCCAGGAAGGATTTAAGCTGGTTTATATAAGCACAATGAAGCTACTGGGAAGAAATGAGGCATAAAAATGTAGACTACATTTGTGTGTGTGAAGATGGCAATGGGTTGGGGAGGGAGGCGGGGCGGGGTGGTGGTGGGAGGCGGGCCAGGGGGAAGGCGGGCCAAAACATTCCGAAGCACTTCCGTTCTTGTATCTTCTGTGCTTATTAGTTAGCTCTTACTCTTCCGAAAGCCAAGGAAACCCAGCAGTGTACAGCTATGAGCCTCAGTGATGGCCACATCGTATTTCAGGAGACATCGTGCTCTTCCCAGCTATGGGGGTCATTTTTCTTGCAAGAGTGTCCACAGAGTCCCACTCCTTCATGAAGAGCAGAAGTGTGTGTGTGTGTGTGTGTGTGTGTGTGTGTGTGTGTGTGTGTGTGTGTGATATGCTTACGTGTCAGTGAACCCAGCAAGCCTTTCTCCAGCTTCCCCCTAGTTCCTCACCCCTCTCCCAACCCCAGCTTGCCTCCCCCAGCACTGGTGGTTCAGACAAGTGTGCTACAGTCATCTTTTCATGTGGGTGCTGGGTACCTACCAAGTGGGTACCACGCTCAGGGCCTCATGCTTACGCGTTGAACCACCTTTCCAGTCCAAAAGCAGTTTCTGATGGCAATCTGTAGAAACTGGCTTCCTCCTATATGCAGTCCTCGTAAATCCATCCTTTCCAAGTAAGTTCTAAAGCCTCAGCCTGAGATAGGCTCTACTGTCAGCTGATCTTGAAAACTGAATGGCACTAATGAAAACCCTAGGCTCGTGTTTCTGTTTTCTGGATCAAGACACTTAAAGGCTGGGCTTGTTGCTGAGGCGTGGGGGCGGGGGAGAGAGAAGGAGAGGGAGAGAGGTGGGGACTGGATCTAGGAGAGCTTCTCTGGGCCAGCCTGGCCTCATCCTCAGAGTGCAGAGGACCGGGTGCTAAAAGCCTGGATGAGGCATCGCTTTAGCCCATCTTATTCCGTTCCACACTTGGGGCTCAACGGGCCATGCTCAGAGCTGACTTGTGGGTACCACACAACCTTGAGCCACATGCCTTTCCCCACCTGTTTCTCTTGTTTTCACAGCTGAACTTCGTTCGATTTTATCTCCCTCTGCTTATCCATCAACATGAGAAAGTCATCTATTTGGACGATGACGTCATTGTGCAAGGTACGCTCACTCACCGCCAAGAACCCTCGCAAGGGCACCACTGCCAAGGAGAGCCACATACTTTCCCCTCATTTTCCATGGAGCTGGCTGGCTTCCAAGTCTGTGAAGTAGACACAGCATCATTGTGACACTGGGCCTATTCCCTGAGCTATGAGGTGGCGACCTCTCTGACTGCCGAGTCTGCTCTAACTACCTTGGTAGCATCTTCTCTGCATTCCTGAAACATGTAGAAATAATCGTCCCTGAGGGCACTTGGAGTGGCCTTGGCTGCGTGTGTGCATGTTGTAGTTGTTCTCTTCCACATGCAAGTGAGATAAGCATTCAGAAACTACCAGCCACAGACCCGACCAACACCCGTCTGGACGTGTGAAGTGGTTTCCTCAATGGGCGTGAGCTGTTAAGTACACCGCCACGCACGGGAAAAGCGGGACCCTGCATTCTCTGCTCTGCTGAAGTTAGGGACTAAGCTAAGGTTCTTTCTAGCCCCGAGGTGCTTGCTGTGTTTTAACTGCCAGTCCTCCCGAACGCAGGTGACATCCAGGAACTGTATGACACCACCTTGGCTCTGGGCCATGCAGCGGCCTTCTCAGATGACTGTGATTTACCCTCCGCTCAAGACAACAACCGAATTGTGGGGCTGCAGGTGAGCATGCGCTCTTAGAAATCCTACCTTACCCTTCTTCTCTGGCTCTGGCCCTCTATCCCTCCTCCACAACTCAAAATCACCACAATCTCTCCATCCAAAGCCAGTGGGAACTTCAGGATGGCAGGAGGGGCTCTGTTTTTCCCACCCACTCGGGCCAGTGTCTGTAACCATTAAGTCTCACTCTCCCGATCTGAAACATGGCATGGACACTATCTATCCCGTTGTGTTAGTGAGCTGCAATGGGGTACGGCAAGCGCTCTAAAAATGATGGCTGTTGTGTTGCGCCTCACCACAGGCCGTTATTGGGGTCCCAGTACCTACACAGAGGCTCACAACTATACGTAACTCCAGTTCCAGGGGACCCAACGCCCTCTTCTGGCTTCCTTGGGCACCAGGCAACATGGTGCATAAACATGCATGCAGGCAAAATACTCATGCACATAAGATAAAAATTAAACCATTTGAAAAGGGAGCAATGCATAGTACCCGTGGGCAGGCATGGCAAGGCTGCGCTGAGTGCGGGGGATTAGCCGGTGTCAGGAGGCATCTTGAAGCGGGACAAACGTTTGGATGAGGTGCAGCTCGGGATGGTCTAATGACCCTGGGCTTCTGCTTAAAGAACAAGATGGACAGAAACACTCTTTCCTGAGGCAGGCGTGTGGCAGGCTGCCAGCTTTAAGACAGGACTTGGTACATGTGGCTTGTTGGAGCTGCTTAAGCGTCAAGAAAGCAACACTAGAGGCAGGAGGCAGAGGCAGGTGGATGTCTGTGAGTTCCAGGTCAGCCTGGTTTATAAAGCGAGTTCCAGGACAGCCAGGGCTGTTAGACGGAGAAACCCTATTTTGGAAAAAAAATAAAAATAAAATTTAAAAAACAAGAAAAAAATGCAACACCAGCTAGGCAGATGTGGCAGCTGGAAGGCTAGAGAGACCGGAGTGTCAGACCGATGGAATTTAGAGCCCTGAAATAGGATGGGCTGCCGGTGGAGTGAGGAAAAATAACAGGTGCTAGGACTGAGAGCAGAGCACTGAGTATCCAGAGGTTGGAAAAAGAGGCACAAACAGCGACGGAGGGCGGTGAGCTAGCTCGGAGCGTAAAAACACTTGCTCTGGAAGCCTGTCTTTTGACACACACACACACACACACACACACACACACACACACACACACACACACAGAACACGCTAGGCACGGTGGCACATGCCTGTAATCCCAGCACTGGAGAGGCAGAGGCGGGCAGGTCTCTGTTGTAAGTTTGAGGCCAGCCTGGTCGACATACTGAGTTCCAGGACAGCCAGAGCTACACAGTGAGACCCTGCCTCAAACAACAAAACGCACCAAAAGCCAGCTGCTAGTGCCACGGGAGGAAGCCCAGGGATGCCGCCCAACAGCTCTGAGAGCCTAACTATTTTCCAGACACAGCAGAACACATCCGTTCTTTTGCAGAACACATACATGGGCTATCTGGACTACCGGAAGAAGACCATTAAGGACCTTGGCATCAGCCCCAGCACCTGCTCATTCAATCCTGGTGTGTTCGTCGCCAACATGACCGAGTGGAAACATCAGCGCATCACCAAGCAGCTGGAAAAATGGATGCAAAAGAACGTGGAGTATGTATGCGCGGGGTTCTCCGCCATCATTGTTCCCAGCTGGGAAACAAATGGCTCAGCTCATCTTTGTATAGCTCAAGTTAAAACAACAAAACAACAACAACAACAATTTGAGGTCAGATTTTCATAGAACCTGTTGGCCAAGAAAAGGGGCACGGATGAAAATCTTTCCCCAAATGAGAGAAATCTGAAGAATCGATGCTGTGAGATAAGCCGTTCATTCCCTTTTATTTTCCTAGTAAGTTGCTTTGTAATGTGAGGTGAACTTTTCCACTGAGGACTCTTCATTTATTCTGAGTTTCGTTTATAGGTCTGCTGTCTGAGGGGGATAGGGTCTCACTCTGCAGCCCTGGCCTGCTGGCCTGAAACTTGCTGTGAAACCAGACTGGCGTTTACCACCAATATGCTGGGATTAAAGTCGTGCGCCGCCACACCCGGCCACAGACCTACTTTGAAGTCTAATTTCATAGAACCTGCATTTTTTAAAAATCCTTTTGATTCCCCACCCCCTCCAGACAGGGTTTCCCTTGTATAACCAACCGCTTTGGCTGTCCTAGAGCTCGCTTTGTAGACCAGGCTGGCCTTAAACTCCCAGAGATCCACCTGCCTCTCGCCTCCTGAGTGCTGGGATTAAAGGCGTGCGCCACTACTCCTGGCTCAATTCCCTCCCCCCCCCCCATTTTTAAAAACAAAACTATTTTTAATTTCATGTGTGTGGTGTTCTGCTTCCTTCCTGTACGTTTATGCCCCACATGCATACCTGGTATCCTTGGGGGCCAGAAGAGGGTGTTGGTCCCTTGGAACTGGAGTCACAGGTGGCTGAGAGTCACCATCTGGGTGCTGGGAATCTTGAAGATGGGTCCTTTGAATGAGCACCAGCTCTTAACTGTTGAGCCATCTCTCCAGCCCCTCATCTGTGTCTTAATGCCATCCTAGCACTGAACTTGTGAGCAGTTTTATTTAATACAGGATCAGAATTTGATCTGTGCATACCATAAAAATCTTCAAGCGTTAGTGACAAGATATTAACAAGTTGCCAGGTGGTGGTGGCAGCAGCGCACATCTTTAATCCCAGCACTCGGGAAGCAGAGGCAGGTGGATCTTTGTGAGTTCGAGGCCAGCCTGGTCTACAGAGTGAGATCCAGGAAAGACGCAAAGCTACACAGAGAAACCCTGTCTTGAAAAACCAAAAAACAAACAAACCAAAGATATTAACAAGTATTAACACTGATTCCAGATGACATGCAGAGGGGTGTGGCCCCGTGGACATGACAGCGTGACCTTAGGTGACATACATGGGAGATTGTGACTCTGGATCACGTGCATGGGTCATGTGATTCTACATGATGTGTACGGGAGCTCCTGGTTGTCTACATTTGAAGTTGGATAGTTTTAAAAATAAAAAATCGGGAGGTAGGTGTGACAGTATATCCTACTACCCCAGTGCATCAGTGAAGACAGCAGGCTTGATTCAAGGCTATCCTCAGCTACCGGGGGACTCAAGGCCAATTTGATCTACAGGAGACCGTTTCTAACAACAAAACCCCCAGCTAAGAATTAAATTGGGGAGGAGTGGGAAAGGAAAGCCTCAGTCTTTTTTTGAAGGACCCTATTAGCACCGACTTGGTGTGTGAGGGCTCCAGACCAATGTCGGATTTCTGTCTCTTTTCTTAGAGAGAACCTCTACAGCAGTTCCCTGGGAGGAGGGGTGGCGACCTCGCCGATGCTGATCGTGTTTCACGGGAAGTATTCCACCATCAACCCCCTGTGGCACATTCGGCACCTCGGTAAGTAGTGCCAGGAAGCATTTCACCCAGGGACTACCACCGCCGAGCTGCCGATAGCCTAGGGCTTCGAACCCGTCACCCCGCCTCCTTAACCCTTAGGCTCAGATCTGCAAATGCAGCTGCTCTCTTTAGTTGCCAGAAGGTACATTCTAGGATTCATGAGAACCCTATGAACCTGGGCTGGAGAGGTGGCTCAGTGGTTAAGAGCACTGGCCGCTCTTTAAGTGGACCCAGGTTCAATTCCCAGCACCCACATGGCCACTCACAAGTGTCTGTAATTCCAGTTCCAAGGGATCTGATGCCCTCACACAGACATGCAATGCACATGAAATAAAAATCTATTTAAAAACAATAAAGATTTATTTAAAAAAAAGTGTACAGGCTGATGCTTAGCACAGAACTTCCACTTTGCAATGTTCTACAGAACATCGTGGACAGAACCTACTGGTGTGTAATGGCACACAATGACCTTAGATAGCTGGCACTTTATTGCTATTAGGTCAACTCTCACCATTTCCATATACAAAAATCCCACCAAAAGCGGAGGTCCATGTTTGTAAGAAGAGCTGTTTGGAGCCGGGCTGGGAATATGGCTCAGGGCATAAAAATACTTGCCATGCAAGCATGAAAACAATCCCAGTCCCCAGGACCCTTGCAAAGCCAACAAAGCCAGCAATCCCAGGACTCAGGGGACAGAGACGGGGTTCTCGGGGCAAGTTGGTTAACTAGACCAGCCACGCTGACAAGCTCCGGGTTTAAGTGAGAGGCCACTGCTTCAATACTGGAAAGAAATTGTAAGGAAGCTGATGTCAACTTTGGCCTTCCATACACAGCCACATGCCTGTCCACATTCATGGCCACATGCATGCACACATGCATGGCCACATGCATGCCTACACAGCACAGACACACGTGCACAAAAGAAAAAGGACAAGCACTTTGTGATGTGGAGCTGACTCAGAATCACACCTTGCGAATGACCAACTACTGATATTCAAGAAGGCCATCATCTTCCTAAGAAAATGACCCTTTTCCTCTGTAAGGTCTGGAACCAGGCAAGATCTGTAAAGTCTGTCTATGCAGCAATGGTTTGAAAAGTGATCTGGTTTTAATTTGTTTTAGATGAGGAAGCAGCAGTAATGATATGATACACTAAGTTTGGGTCTAAACAGAAAGACTTAACATCTATAAGACAAATCAGTCAGAAGTAATTTCATCTCTCAGACTCTGGGGTAGTTCCAGAGTGTCATGGAGCTGAGGTGAAGGGATGCCTCCTCCCAGATGTGGGCTCCTGTGTGGAGACTGGCTGGAAGCTGCTCATTCTAACCACAGGCTGAGGAGACTAAGCAGCTTCTCTGGGACAGCTGCGGCCACATCTGTGCTGATGAGTGACAGAAGCCAGGCTCTGTTGCTGCTGGCATGCAGCAACAGAACTGCTTCCAGCTAACCATTCTAAATTCCATGTGCATGACCTTCTCGAAGTCCTGTAGAGTAGTCCGAGGAATGGCAGTATTAAGCTTTCTTCACCGTATAGCCCTGTGGTTTATTTATTCTATAAGCTGTGCACACTGTAATATCACACCAGTGAGGTTCATCTGAGGTGTGACTGCTAAGTGGAGACCTTTACCGTGAGCTTGTGTCCAGTGTTTCCTGTAAACTGTATTCACTAACAAGCCTATTCTCCTCTGCACACACTGAAGGCTGGAACCCTGACGCAAGATATTCGGAGCGTTTTCTGCAGGACGCGAAACTACTTCACTGGAACGGAAGACATAAGCCCTGGGACTTTCCTAGTGTTCACAACGACTTATGGGAGAGCTGGTTTGTTCCTGACCCTGCGGGGATCTTTAAACTCCACCACAACAGATGACACACCTCGACACTTCAAGTATTCCCTGGACAAAAATGGCATCAGCCTTTGCATCCTCCCCTAGCCCTGTTCTTTAGGAGCGGCACCTCGGACACATAGATCTACAATGGAAGAAGCAAAAACTGTGTTACATGTTCAACCATGGACCAAAGGCAGACCTAACTTCTTGAAGTTCAAGTGGTAATTATGACTGGCCCTTCACCCCCTTCCCCTCTCTTCTTGGTGTTTTGAGACAGGGTCTCACTGTGTACCCCAGGCTGGTCTGGACTTGAATGACAATTACATCAGAAAACTTTAAAAGTCCCTAATTTTTCATTTAGGTATTTTTGTAGCTGTTCTTATTGGTTCTGATTTTGCATAAGATAGGATCTCTCTATATAGCCCTGGCTGGCTTAGAACTCACTTATCGACCTCCTAAGTACTGGAATTAAATGCATGTGCCACCATGCCTGGCTGTAGGTTTTTTGTTTTTTTCTTAAATTTTTTAACAGGTTGCCAGTTTTGTCCCCACCCCCCCTTTTTTTTTTGGTTTTTCGAGACAGGGTTTCTTTGTGTAGCTTTGCGCCTTTCCTGGAACTCACTTGGTAGCCCAGGCTGGCCTCGAACTCACAGAGATCTGCCTGGCTCTGCCTCCCGAGTGCTGGGATTAAAGGTGTACGCCACCACCGCCCGGCTCAGTTTTGTCCTTTATAAAAAATTAAAACTAAAAAAATATAAATATCGCTTGGTGGTGTTGCATGCCTTTGATCCCAGCTTGGGAGGCGGAGGCAGAGGCAGGTGGATCTTTGTTGAGTTAGAGGCCAGGCTGGGCTACAGAATGAGTTCCAGGACAGCCAGGGCTACACAGAGAAACTCTGTCTCAAAAAACAAACAAAACACACACACACACACACACACACACAAGGTATCTGTACAAATAAAATATTCAAGTTTTTATGATTTTCCTCATGTATTACTCTACAAATTAAATATAATAGAAAGTAAACTGTCTTCAGGTTTAAAGCAAAGAACACCATTAAGACTTTCTACAGAAAAGCCTGTTCCTTAAGCATAGCCATTCTTAATGTTTATTGTAAAAACCATCCAGACTTTCATATGAATTTAAAATCTCAGTATTATAATGGAGAAAACCCCATCCTGTCATGTGCAGGATACATCAACATTTACAACTCATTTGCCATGTTCAATGAAATGAAATTTCAATGAAATGAATGTTCATTCAATGAAAAACGCTGGGCTGTTTCGGAAGACCCTCACACCCATTCTCCAGAGTGACATAATTTAAAGGTATTTCTCTACTCAAGGAAATCTATGGGAAAGCTACAACAGTTATATACCAAAGCAATACCTAGTTACATGCTTTACATAGTCCCATGAAAAAAATAATTCAACTGGTCCTAATCCCTGATGCAAGGCACTTCAAAGCACCCGCACAAAATGTCCATGTAAACAGCAGTGCAGTACACCTTTTAAATAACATGACTCTACACGGCTCGACTAGACATAAGGAAAATAAAATCCATCATTGCCACAGCTAAAAGGCATGTTAAGATTCACAAGAAACTGCTTCTCTGCAGACTACTTAACCTCTGTGGAATATAAACACCGCACAGACATTTCATACTGCAAAACCAGCATGCTCCTTGGGTATGCATCAAGTCAGAATATTCATGAGTGATCAGGACTGAATGTACTAGGTATTTCTGAATACCCGGTTTTAATATCCACCAGCCCCAATGGGCTGGACTATTTGTAGCACCATGGAAAATGCGTTAGAAACCTTTACAAAGGTACAAATTCCAGCCAACCTTTTCATGAGGTTCACTTGGTCCACAGTAACAAACAGTAGTGACAATCATTTTTAAATTATTGACTCATTAGTTTTAACTAGCAAGAAAAATTCTACATTATCTTAGTACATCCCATGTACACACAGCACCAGTTTAAACAGAATTATCAAACACCTCCAGCATCCTGTTGCTCTCCCTGAAAGTTCATTTCTTACCACTTTCCAGTCAAGGATAAAATTAGAACAGTGATAAACACTGACGGGGAAATTCAGTAAAACACACAATTGGCAAACTTAAAAGGTCTACAGCGTTCTCAGGAACCTACCAGCTCAGCAAACAGTTTCTGTCTCTGAGAGGACCAGCACACAGGAGCAGGAGGCCGAAGGCAGGGCTTAGGCCCATCAGGTCAGACCACACTCTGATTCTATTACTAAGCAACTGCCATATACACCATCTGGAGAGTGTGACTAGGAAGTTCTGAGTTTACCCCCAGCTTCCAAAACTAACCAGACTCCACTGAGGGTTGGTTAGCTTCTTCCATGGAAATTGGCACATCTGCCTTTACCAGTTTGATTCTTTCTAGCATGCCCCTCTGAGGCATTAAAAGGGATAATGGCATATATAGGTATGCACAGTCAAGAATCAACTATAAATATTCAGACTGTTGCGTTTTAAAATTACATCAAAGTAACTCCCCAAAGAAAACCAGTTTCTTCATAAATGAAATATAGTATATAAAAAGCTGGGATGATGGGTAATTCAAATACAAAACTCAGGTAGAAAACACCCTATTTTTTTCCTTCCAGACTACATAGGTTCATACAGTTGACCCTACCATGTAACTGCTCCATATATAATTACACCACTAGCGTAAAGTACTATGAAATACTAACTCTTTAGTTAGGAAACTGAGGTTCGAGGCCCTGCCAACTGCATTAAAACTGCAGCATTGAGCAGAGCTGAGAAGCACGTCATTAAGCATGGCTTCCTTCTTCCTGTTCGTGGGTCCCACAATTGTTAAAAGACGGGATCTGGTCTGTAAATGACTGTGCCATCCACTGCCCATTTGGAAGGTCACCAGGGGCCGCTTCTCTTCTCGGCTCCGCACCGTCAGCTGCTAGGAAGGGAAAGAATCTTAGTTCATTGTCAAGTTTCAACTGATCTTATCGGGAGATCTTTAAAGTGCATTAAAAAATTATTAAGATACTAGCAAGTTTTTAAAAACAGTGTTAAGTTTCTACTAGCTTTTCAAATCGAGGACTGAGAAATCATCATTTGTTATTCAAGGAGGGAGATGTTAGTGGGTTGTTTAGAAGCCATAAATTAAGAAAATGATGTGAAAATCTTTAGTCCCTTAACTACATTTTTAGATTAGTATCCCTAAATCTCTAACAATTACTTTCTTTTTCTATTACATGCCCATCGCCTCCCAATCCCCTGAAAGGAACAAATCTGGATGGGAACATACTTAGCCCATTTGAAGGAAAGCTGTGAGGTTCACTATTACATGGGTTTTCACCATAAGCACTGCCATACGCTGCTTCGTAGCCAGGATCATACTTTTCTTCCTTAACAGCCATCTTCTTTGCATCCTCTGTGGGGAAGGTAAAGATGACTGAAACTGATGTTGTAAAAGTTTTCTATAAATTCAGCTGAGTTACATAATTTGCTGCAGTTTTTTTTTTAAGATTTGATATTTTTATTTGTGCGTGTGTGTGTGTGTGTGTGTGTGTGTGTGTGTGTGTGTGTGTGTGTGTGTGTGTGTGTGTGTATACGTACAGGCATGCACATGCCAGGTGTGCAGGTGACCAAGGAGGCTAGAGGGCAACGGATCCCCCGGAACTGGAATTACAGGTGACTGTGAACCATCTGAGGTGGGTTCTGGGAACCGAACCTGGTCTCTGCAAGATCAACAAATGTTTTTACGCACTGAGCAATCTCCCCAGCCCCATTTGCTGTTGTTCTTACAATTCTTTGGAGCATATACTAAGTTAGCTTGTAAGAACTGGGAAAATCCACCACACTCAGTTTTAGGCAGGGAGGCGGTCCTTAGACCCAAAACAGGGAAACCATGGTACAAGGAGACCCGAACAGACATTAAAATCCGTTACCAGAGCATCTGGCTCCAATAAAATTTCCCTTCTTCCTGCTCGAAATCCACACCTTCCTTTCTGTTGCAGACACACAGGTCATTGATGAGGGGAGGGAATGGTAGCAAACCTTGTGCGAGCTGCAGGTCGAACGTGTACTGCACCTCCTGGACGTCTGTGTTGCGCTCAATGCCCTTCAGCTGATCTCGTAAATCCTTCAGTTTAATGTAGTAGTGAACTTTGTCCTGGGCTCGAGGAAACTGAGCACATCTGGCACTGGAAGATGGCATGACGTAGCAGAGCTGGGATCAACAAGTTTTAAAGGTTCAGAGATCTTAACATTTGATTGAAATTACTCACACTGTGGTCAGAAAAACTTACCTTCATTTGGCATAATAACTTGAAACTTAAATTAAGAGATGGCTCCCCGCAGTGTTCCTCTATCAATCAAGTCTTTTCTTTCCACAGTAAATACACACTTCACGATTCAAGAGGAACAGAAGGGGCGCAGCATTTATGCTGACGTTTACCCTCCCAGCTCTCTGTCCACTCAGCTCCCTTTGCTGAGACAATCCCTCGCAGGAGTCCCCGAGGTGTCCGTGGCCAATCCAAGGCATCTAGGGTATCAACTACCCCACATCCCTTTTCCTAACACACAAACACAATGTGCTCTACTTCCCCATACCCCGCTCTCCTCTTCACCCAACAGTGCATCGCAGAGATGTTCTGACCATTTAGCAAGTTAAAAAAAAAAAAAAAGCCTTTTAAACAAAGTTATCCAGGCCTTTTATAACTTATTAACCCGAGCCAATTGTAGATTTAGGTTGTCATGAGTTCTTTTATCGACTATAGGAATAAGCTTTATACATCATTACTTTGGAGATTTCCCAAGAAGTTGAATAAAATACCAGAAGTAGCTGGGCGGCGGTAGTGGCGCACGCCTTTAATCCCAGCACTCGGGAGGCAGAGCCAGGTGGATCTCTGTGAGTTTGAGGCCAGCCTGGGCTACAGAGCGAGATCCAGGACAGGCACCAAAACTAGAGAAATTCTGTCTCAAAAAACAAACAAACAAACAAATACCAGAAGTAGAAAGCTACAGGGAAAGACACTTAATTTATCATTTTGGTTGGTGACAAATTGTCCTTCAAAGGGCAGAAGTTGCTTCTGTCCTCTCTACACACAAGTGAGGTGATGGACTACTATATCTATGGTGATTTTTAAAGTTGGTTTCTTTATCATATATTATAATTATTTTGCTTTGAGGCTTCCTCATCATATAATTATTTTGCTTTGACTATAGCATATTTAGAGAAATTCCTAATTGATACAGACATGCAGGTGAGTATGTTAGCATGTTTTATAACAGCACATTTTCAAGATATTCTTTAATTAAAATGACCCAGAGTAGACTCTCTGTGTATAGTGGTGCACACCTTTAATCCTAGCACTCAGGAGGCAGAGACGAGTGGATCTCTGTAAGTTTGAGCTTAGTCTGCATAGTGAGATCCCCACCCACAAACACACAAAGTAAAAGAAAGTAAACTATTTTCTCTTTGAGCTAAATCA